CAGTAGAGTCGGAAGAGTGGCCTTGAGGGTAATGCAGAGAAACGGAGTGGACTGCGCTCTGGGGCTGAAGGTCAAAGGGCTGTGCCAGCTGAGTCTCAGGGAGGCTGAGAGAGGAGCCGCGTGCTGGCAGTCAGTGTCCCAAGGAGGCAAAGCCGGCTGACATCCATGTAAATGAGCCTGAACGCAGAGGGCCTTGGAAGGAAGGCCGCGTCTTCTGAGTCGTGAGACAGACTTTCAGGAGCAAGAAGGAGCGAAGAGGCTTTTCAAAGAAGGAAGTTCGGTTCTTGTTCACAGGTCTTGGAGAGCTGGAAGTGGCTCTAGATCAGTGGTTCTCAACCTTCCTAATGCCACGACCCTTTAATAGTTCCTCGTGTTGTGGTGACCCCCCCAACCATAACAGTATTTTTGTTGCTCCATTATCACTGTCATTTTGCTACTGTTACGAATCAGGAGACCCTGTGAAAGGGTCGTTTGACCCTCCAAGGCGTTGCGACCCCCAGGTTAAGAACCGCTGCTCTAGGTGATGAACGATGTGTGTTTCTTGGGTATGGTTTACCGATTTTTAATCGTGTGAAGAGAACGGGGTTTCTAAGTGCTCCAAAACATGTATGCAAACAGCTATCAAATGCTTAATTCGCTTCTTTGATTGTGGATTTTCTAAATTCATATTGTAGTATGAGGTCGTATCCAATTCCTGCTTTGGGCTTGGAAGGCAGGCCTGGCCTTCCGCAGGATGACTGGATCTTGCTGTGCTTCAATGGCTGCTTAGTGAGCCAAGGGCTCCACAGTGGGCGGTTTCCTGCCTTGTCCAAGTCTTTAGTCACTCATGCCTCAGCGAAGACCCTGGACATGAGGAGTAGGCTGGGTGGCTGGCTTCTCGCCTACATTTGAAGGAAATGTCCTCTTACTAATCAGTGTTCTTTCCTTCTCTCGTGGACAAGCACGTGCTGTGTGTGCTCAGGAGAAACAGTTAACCTCTCTGGTCTACAGTTTCTGGCAACTGATACAGCACACACCTTGTCTTCCTGCAAGCACAGGAGGGCACACCCATCTATCAACGTTATTCCTCATGAGCTGTGCATGCAAAGCGAGGCCAAGGACGTGAAGTAAATAATTAGTGAATTAATTAATATGCCCTTCCTATCCCCCCCCACCCACAAGCATTTGACATACAAGGATAAGGCTTACACTTACTAATGATCCCTAATTAACAAAACGAAACACAGCATGACTCTTCAACACCAGAGGGACGCCACCATTAGAAAACTCTTTGAAAGTCAGAAGAGAGCAGAGGAAGCCCAATTAGAAGAATGGTCCTTGGAGACTTCAACTGCCATGTCCGACTTCCTCACAATTGGACAGCCCTCACTCTTGCTGAGAGCTAGTGGCACATCCCCACTTCTGATTACCCACTTGGTGGTCCCATCTAGCTGTCACACAACCACTTGCAGTCAAGCCAACTCCAGTGCCTGGGGTCCCCTCGTGTGTAGCGTCACACTCTGCTTTAGCGGGGGCTCGTGGCTCTTTATTCATGTGCAGCTTGTCGACCTTTCTTTCTAGGCACTTCTGGGTAAATTTGAACCTTCTGCCTTTTGGTTCACAGCTGAGCTCTTTATCTGTTTGCAAGCCCCACTCCTGCCTGGGGGCTTAAGCTGTCAGACCAGCTCCCCCAATAGACACATCCAACCCAAACCTTGTTTCGTTCCTTTCCCCAAATCCACGTGTCTCTTTGAATTCACCACCCCAGCTACCAAAGCCCCGCTCCAGTCTTCAGGCCAAGTGCGTTACCATGGCGGCATTCCCACTCACAGTGAGCACTCGGGATGGCGAAGAACTGCCCAGGGTTTCCGAGGTCATATCTCAATGTTGAAGAAAGCAGTCTGCCACAGCTTTCTGCTGCAGGGCGGCCAGTGGGTTGAACAACTGACCTTTCGCTTCGCAGCTGAACACTTAATCACTGTGCCATCTAGGCTCCTTGACTTTTCTGGCAAGGTCTTTGAAAGCATGCTGCTTTCTCATGTCGGTCTTCACGTCCTGATAGGCCAGCCTTGCTGCTATCACCATCTAGTCAACAAATACTGTCCATCTGGTATGTTTGCGGCACAACGCAAGGAAATGAGCATGCAACTGAATACCGACTTTGAGAGCTTACACTCTGGTGGGGCAGTGGAGTCTCTCTCTCTCTCTCTCTCTCACACACACACACACACACACACACACACACACACACACACACGCAAAGACATCTTAAAGAGCTGGGGTAGTTAGGAAGGAACCACCACCAGGTGAGGAGTGAGGGCTGCTTCCCTTGGGCAGGAGCCAGAGCACGGCCAGTGTGCCAGGAGCACTGTGTCTAGGGAGAATGGAGCAAGGTGGCAGGGGTCCACAGTAAAGCAATTGGATGTCATTTGAAGGCGTTCGGAAGCTATGGTAGATATTTAAGCTGAGGAGCATCTCCAAATCCAAGCTGTATGTTCAATCTTCTTTCTGGCTTCCGTGATGGGAGGAGGCTGGGAGGGAGAGGATAGCTCCCAGAAGGCTTCGCTCAGCAGGCAGGCTGTGGTCTGTGTGGCAGAGGGAGAGGGGAAGGGTCCTCGCCTGTCTCCACCCCCAACTCTGAGTTATTCCAGGTCCTGGTAATAGTCCACTGTGACTTCCACAAAATCCCCCCGGGCACACCTCTAGGGTCATTAATTCCCCATCTGCCCTGCTCCACAAAGCCTGCCACATAGACATGGCCACTCTTTTGCCCAGAGGCCCACTCCTCACCCCATTTGTCCTACCAAGTTTCTCAAAATGGGTGAAGACTGTGGACCAATGACCCAGAAATGTTTCATATTCTCCTGAGGACACCTCACCAGGCTTACCAGCTGTACTGTCTGGGCATCAGGAAGTGAATTTGCAAGCCATTCTCCAGAGGGTGTATACAGATTACACTCTGGAATCTCTCCTGAACTCTGTAGGAACCTTGGCCTGTGAGGTCACATTTAGCTACATGGAAGATCTGTCCAGAACTGCCTTACCCGCTTGTCACCCTCTTTTGCAAAATCATTCGGTTCCTTTATTTTGCTCCCTCAAAGCGGAAGGAGGGTTGTAGATGCTGTGGCATTGTCTAGGGAGGTGGCTCAACACATGGTTCGATAGTTGACCACAAAGCACCAGGACAGATACTTGGTGACAGACTTGGGAAGACCCGACGATGTTAAGGGAGGTAGCAAGATTCATTCCAGATGCTCAGGTGACTAGCATGGGGGCTACAAAGGTCGCATTTTGATGACTGACGACGGGAGGCATGAATGTCAACAAGGACAAGCAAAACCACGTGACATTTCTTCTTTGCGGTGAATGGAGGCCATCAAGCAGCGATTCCTGGGCACAGACATGCGGAAGGCCCTCTTAAACTAGGCGTGCTTTGAAGGCAATATCTACCGAATGAAAAGAGAACTCCGCTGGTAGGGAAAGACATTTTATTTCCAAGCTTCTAAGAGGCTTCTACAAACAATAGAGGTTTCAAGAATAAAAGGAAAGAAGAAAAAAAGGAACAAAAAGAAAAACAAGTATTTTTAAGTACTGAGAAGTCGACAGCCCTTTTTCTTTTGCAACTTAAACACAGAAAAATGTGAAAATGTACTTGTCAAATCCAATCAAAATACATTCTTAGAAAAAAAAAAAAGACGGTCTTTGGTGAAGGGGGTTAGGACGTAGCGCCGAGCGCTTGTCCCAGCTCTGGTCCTATGTCTTGTGAGCGCTTTCCTCTTCTCAAATCCAGTTGGAGGACTGTGCCAATGTAGCAAAGTCTTCGTGAGTTGTGGGAGGATGGGGGAGGAGGACATGTTGGTATTGAGACTACACACTGCAGTGGAAGGCTCTAGACCCAGCCTGGCCACAGAGCGACTCCACTGATAGATGCGGCCCAATTGGAGTTCAATTGGAAGCAACGTGGAAGGAGGCACTTCACAGCACTTCCTCTCTGAACGCAGTTTGAGTGAGTCATTACAAAAAGAGTAGATGGCCGTCTATCACGCAAGGCTTGATACAAAGCTGCCGTACAATCAAGCAAGGAAATCATGCATCTAAACATCGCTCGCAGTCTCACTGGCTATGTGCCCAGGGGCTATAAGGAAGAGGGAAAGCGCTGGTAGAAGACTTCTCAGATCTCTGCCCAGAATGGCTACCTTTTGACCTCAGGTGCAATGCCCAGCACAGAGCCGTTGCCCCAGAAAGCTGGGTGGGATTGTGTAAGACTGTGGGTGAGCCCGAGCCTGGCAGGGACCTCAGGTCCCCCACATGGTCCCTGCCTGCCTTCAGAGCAAATGGCTCCAAGTATCTCTTGGAATAAAGGTTTTGAAATGAAGCGCACTCTCTTTTTGTTCCATATCTTAAACCTAAAAAAATGCCATGATATGATCAGTGGATAAATAAATAAGCAGATTCAAGGGTCTGCGTTATTAAGAGAGTCTGGCACGACCCATATGGGTCTGCTAGCTACATGCCCAGAATCCTATTCTGGACTCTGTAGCCCTGACCTATGCCCCCCGACCCCCACAACTCCGTGCAAGGCATGTCATTTCTACTGTGAGCATGAATGTTCCCAGGGTTTCATTGAACTGTGGGCCTGTCTCTCATTAGCACAGCATTACAGACACACACACACACGCTTAATGCATATTATATAACGATCTTGTCAAAGCATAGATTTACCTAGATCTTTGATCAACCTTCTCTTTTAGAAGACATGTGTGTGTGTAAGGCAGGAGACCAACACCGAGAAGGTACATTGACAAGGTACTCCTGAATCTTAGAAACAAACCAACTAAGACCACCCGGGTCAGATAAACTTGATTTTAAACATGCAATCAAAGGAACGCACAGGCTACAAGCAGATGATCTAAATAAGCTTATTCCAGAGACCACCATGGTCTCCCATTAGAAATACCCCATAGGGCACTGAAAATTTGAAATCCTTTCTGCTCTTGCAATGTTTAAGAATCAAACCAGAATTAAAAAAGAATCTTTTTGTTTTTATTTCAAAGGTTGCTTCTTATATCGAAGCTCATATTAAAGCAACAGTACAATGTTCATAAAATATAAGTGTGATGCTGTAACGTTTCTTACATGTCAGAATACTGATATTTGTATGTATACTAAAATAAGACCTTTAAAATTGTACAAATAGATACATTAAAAATGACATAGAAATAGGGCGCCTCTCGCGGACACAAGACAAGTTATATCTGGCACGTATTAGTTTAAGATGAAAGTCGAAGCAAAAAGATTTACAAGAATCAGCAGTAACAAGATTGATGCTCAAGAGACATAATTGTACATTGTATTGTACATACATCATATGGGTTTAAGCTGGCTGAATATTATATATTTCAAGTTTAAAAAAATGCACTACATATAGAGTGTCCATAGTTTAAGGCGAAATTACAGCTCAGAAACTGTTGTCCTTTCTAGTTTTGTGGAAGCTTCTTTGACAAATTAAAAAATAATAATAAAATAAAGAAGAAAGACTTAGATGTTCATAACACATAAACGATTTCCCTTCATTGTCAGTTCACCGTCAGACCGCTCCTTCCCTTAAATATTTTGTCTGTTGAGTGAGTGGTTTTTCTCTATTGGAGTCGATAAACAACTTTCCATGTTGGCCTTTTTTGTGTGTGTGTGTGTGTGAGAAAGAGAGAGAGAAAAGATACTTCACAGTATTTACCAGTTCGATGTCCTTGCAGGTGTATTAAACGTATCCTCTCTGTAAAACATTGCTTGTTTTAAATGAGCCTTCCCTTGATGTAAAAAAATACCTGTTTACATATCTTCTAGATTCTTCAGAACGCCACAGTTCATAAGGCCAAATTTGTATCGTTATTGTTAAGAATCATCATCAAAAGTGTCTTTGGAACCATACAAGTCTGCTAGTTTCTTAAAACGAGGCCCCCAGTTCTGTAGATAGTCATAGTTCAAGTCTGAATCTGTGGTGGCAGACTCTAAGGAGCTTAGGGACCCGGCCACTGAGCCCCTTCCTTCATAGCCATAGATTTGGATGGAGTCGTAGGGCGGGGCCGTGGGGTCGTTATCAGCCTCCTGTATCCTCGAGTTGATGAAATCATCCACGTCCACACTGTTGGGGGCTGGCCGCAGGCCCGGGCGGGGCATATACTGGTACTCCGGCTTTATGTCTTTGCGAGGGATAAATCCATTAATGCCGTCGGGGTTCTGGAGGGTGGCAATGTCAAAGGCCTCCGTGTCTTCCTCCCCGCCCCCTTCATCGTCGTAGGTAATGATGTTCTCACGCACATCTTCTTCCTCAAAGACGATCAGAGGTTCTTTCTTTTGCCTCCTCAGGGTCACAAACAGCACAACGATGACTGCAGGGGTCAAAGAGAAGACGGTAAGTAAGTGGGGTCGACCCCAGCGCCCCTGGGTTCTTTTCCCAAGGACCTGCTTAGCTAACAAAGTTCGTGGTGCTTGTACGCCTCGGCCTGGAGCCGGTAGACAAAACAAGAGACTTACCAGGAATCCCCCCAAATGTACACAGTTGGCCCTTCCCATGAAAGGCAGCCACCAAATCACAGTTCATGAGCCCAGACGCTACCTGACACCATTGGAAGTCATCCCACCCCCTTAAACATCAGGGAAGACTTCTACATAAGATAGGCTTCAGTTTTTAGGAGTCACTTAAAGTATCCCGTTTGCAACAACAGGCAACTGCCCTTCCATGTTTCGGAAGGAGGCTGTGTAGAGACCCAGCCTCGCTTTCTGTGGGCGGTGGTCCCTCACTTTCTCCCAGAGGTCTGGGGGAGGGCAGAGATGGCTCTTGCGGTGGTTGGCAGGTCACATCGAGTGAGTTACAACCCATAGGAACTCGACATGTAACCAACTGAAAACACTGCCCGGCCTCGCGCCAGCCTCACCATCGTTGCTAGGTTTGCGCCCATGAGTGTAGTCGCTGGGTCAGTCCACCAGGTGGTGGGTCTTCCTCTTTTCCATTCACCCGCTACGCCAGTGGGATTCAATGCTCCTAGTCTACCTTAGTGTTAACAGGAAGCCTTATCAAGGACTTGGCTGGACTTTCTGTGGCCCACATTACCGGGAGGGGACGCTTATAGAGACTCCCAGTCAACAAAACCTCTCCCATTAGTTTGAACATAGGAAAATACCATCCACGGAAACCCCCAGGTGCAGCAACCCCATCTCCTCCCTGGTAGAGGGGAATGCCATTAAGGGTGGGCAACCTGGGAGGAGTGAGCAGAGGCATTTATAAGGAAAGTCTGAGTCTGCTTAATTCTTCATTGAATTCCCCTGCTCCCACCAGAAGCTTCGACAACGTTATCTAGCTTCTCCCGCACACTCAGCTAGACTGGGTGGGGTGTCATTCACTGCACTTACCAATCGGGGTCTGACCTTGCCCACCCATGGGCCTGGGCCATTCCTCTCCTCTTTTATCATGGGGGTCTTTTGGGCACCTCACCCTGCCTCCCAGCAGGACTATTTAACTGAAAGCAGAGATGCCACTGGGATGGGCCTGACCCGAGCCATGGTTTTTGCCACTGCCCCCTAGGCCTGAGAACTAGGACCAGCCAAAGGGAAGTCGGCAGAAGAATAGAGGCGTGTGAATTGGGGTGTGGGTGAAGCACACTGATGACACAGCTCCGAGATGGCAGAGGCCAGGCCGAGTTTCCGGAGTGCCTCAAAGCAGAGGACAGACTGGTTCTGTTCGGGTAAGCTGATCTTCTAGCACCTGGGATCCTTCACCTGATCTCTTCTACCTGGTGGTTGTTTCTTTCTGCCCCAAGCCATGCCCTACTCCTTCCACTTTTAGAACAAACTCTTGCTCAGAAACCAGGTCACTACCGTTTAAATTCTTCTGCTTTGAAACTCTCTCTGATGTCCCCTTAGGCGGGTTGATGGTTTCTGCTTTCCAGCCTTGTAGAGCCCTGGTGGTGTAGTGATTAAGCATTGGGCTGCGATCCACATGGTTGGAAGTTTGAAACCACCAGCAGCTCCATGGGAGAAAGACTGGGCGTTCTATTCCCGTCAACAGAGTCTTGGAAAAAGACAGGGTGGGGGGTGTCGCTGTGAGTTTGGGTATCAACACTGGGATGTCTCCCACTGTGTTCATTATAACCACTCCCAACTTGGTTATAACTGCTTGCTGACTTGCCTTCTAGACCCTGAATCTATTGCCATCAAGTTAATCCCAATCCACAGTGATCCTAGAGACAGGGTAGGATTGCCCCATAGGGTCTCCAAGGCCTATGGCCAACAGCAGACTGCCACAGCTTTCACCCAATGGAGAGTTCAAACCGCGCACCATAACGTGCATGGAAGTGGGTGTCGCTTCCCCCTTGTCTCATGCCACACCTAGACTCCCGGCAACCAGTCTCTGCTTGAGACTACGTGGTACAAGGGGTGGCGGACAGGTGCCTTACCCAGGAGGATGACGATGCAGGCCAGGATGGCGATCAGCGCGCCCGTGCTGAGCCCGGCGTTCAGGATGTAGGCCTCCGCGTTGCAAGAGAGCAGCCCGCCGTGCACGTCGCAGCCGCAGACCTTGATGGTGAGTGTGTTGGTGCTGCTCATGGG